TATCAACGGGAATCTTGCGTTCCGGACTTGTTTAACCGCAGAGAACGCAGCTGAGGGGGAGGGCTCCAATGAGCCTTCACATGGGACCCGCCAACCCCAATTGTCTCCCAGTCTGCTTTCTGGTGCCAGTGGCTGTGCCTGCACCTCTGCCAGTCCTCGGGGGGTCTCCTAGTAACTGTCCCGGCCACCCACACTGCACCCAGATATCCGGGATGGGAGCTGCTCCCCCCCCTGAGACCGCCATGATGGATGCCAAGCGGCGGTCTGGTGTCAGTGGAGGGGACGTATCTACATACAGGATACAACACGCAGAAAATGAACAGTTAGCTGGCCCTGTGTCCCCGCTCCTCTCCCCGTGTCCCCGCTCCTCTCCCCCTGTGTCCCGTGTCCCATCTCCTCTTCTCCTGTGTCCCCGCTCCTCTCCCCGTGTCCCCACTCCTCTCCCCCTGTGTCCCCGCTCCTCTCCCCCTGCCCCGTGTCCCATCTCCTCTTCTCCTGTGTCCCCGCTCCTCTCCTCCTGTGTCCCCACTCCTCTCCTCCTGTGTCCCTGCTCCCCTTCCCTTGCCTCCTGTGTCCCCGCTCCTCCTGTGTCCCCCTCTCCTCTCCTCCTGTGTCCCATCTCCTCCTGTGTCCCCGCTCCTCTCCTCTCCCCCTGTGTCCCCCGCTCCTCTCCTCTCCTCCTGTGTCTCCGCTCCTCTCCTCATGTCCCCCCCTCCTCTGTCCCCCCCTCCTCTCCTCCTGTGTCTCCGCTCCTCTCCTCGTGTCCCCCTCTCCCCCTGTGTCCCCGCTCCTCTCCCCGTGTCTCCGCTCCTCTCCCCGTGTCCCCGCTCCTCTCCTCTCCTCCTGTGTCTCCGCTCCTCTCCTCGTGTCCCCCTCTCCCCCTGTGTCCCCGCTCCTCTCCCCGTGTCTCCGCTCCTCTCCCCGTGTCCCCGCTCCTCTCCTCCTGTGTCCCCGCTCCTCTCCCCCCGTGTCTCCGCTCCTCTCCCCCCGTGTTCCCGCTCCTCTCCTCCCGTGTTCCCGCTCCTCTCCTCCTCTGTCCCCGCTCCTCTCCTCTGCCCCCCGTGTCCTCGCTCCTCTCCCCCCCCGTGTCTCCGCTCCTCTCTCCCCGCTCCTCTTCTCCTCTGTCCCCCGCTCCTCTCTTCCTGTGTCCCCGCTCCTCTCCGTGTCCCCGTTCCCCTCCTCCTGTGTCCCCGCTCCTCTCCTCTCCCCCGTGTCCCCGCTCCTCTCTCCCCGTGTCCCCGCTCCTCTCCCCCTTGTGTCTCATCTCCTCTCCTCCTGTGTCTCCGCTCCTCTCCCCGTGTCCCCGCTCCTCCTGTGTCCCCCCTCCTCTCTTCCTGTGTCCCTGCTCCTCTCCGTGTCCCCGCTCCTCTCCCCCGTGTCTCCGCTCCTCTCCCCGTGTCCCCGCTCCTCTCCTCCTGTGTCCCCGCTCCTCTCCCCGTGTCCCCGCTCCTCTCCTCCTGTGTCCCCGCTCCTCTCCCCCCTGCCCCCACTCCTCTCCTCCTGTGTCCCCACTCCTCTCCCCCTGCCCCCCGTGTCCCCCCGCTCCTCTCTTCCTGTGTCCCCCGCTGCCTCCCAATTTGTAACTCGCTGGGTGGTCTCCCTCTCCCGCCTCACTGATTACACTGTCAATGGGCGCAGGAAGTGGGGGAGGGCTGAGTGCCGCCTGTTTAGCCGGCTCCTGTTCTGCAATTATTCATAGAAGAGACTTTGGGTGTCGATGGGGAGCTGGGCCGGCGCGGATCCTCCACTATGGTGTCACTGGGACTGACTGGAAATAATGCAGAAAGTCTGAAGCTGAAGGCCGGCCGCAGACAAGAACAGAACCTTCTGCCGACCGAAAGACGCATAATGGCGCGTAGGACCGTGAAGTCGCTTGTTCCAGCGCGTTGGATCCGGCGCCTTCCATTGCGGCATGAAAATGGCGTCACACTAATGACACGAAAAAAACGAACGATCTGACGACTGACAGGAATTTACGGTCGGTTTTCGCATCGTCTATGGCCGGCTTACGTGACACCCTACAACCGCTGACTGGAAAGAAAATGGTGTCCGCTGACGCTGGGGGAGTGGCTATAGAGCGCCCGCGGGTGCCACCAAAAGGGGGCGCTCTACGCTCAGACCCTCCGGACCATACAACCGGCCACAGACAGCGAGATGCGATCGTTCATGTGGTTTGTGCAAAGAGCGCGGCAGGTGAATGCGCCAATCGCAGACCATCTAATTGCGGCTTTTGTCGCTTTAGACAACTCCCAGTGCAGAACCGCGTGCGGCCGCCTCTCATCATCGCTGTCTGTGGGCGGCTGTGCGGTCGCTGCGGGTCCCGGGAACGGTTATACCGAGGCGCTCGGCGCCGTATGACCCCCTCATGTGTGTACATGAACCTCCACCAGGGTATAGGATACCAATACCGGGCTTGTTACTGCGCCCAGTGACACCAATACCGGGCTTGTTACTGCGGCCAGTGACACCGATACCGGGCTCGTTACTGCGGCCAGTGACACCAACACAGGGCTTGTTACTGCGGCCAGTGACACCAATACCAAGCTCGTTACTGCGGCCAGTGACACCGACACAGGGCTCGTTACTGCGGCCAGTGACACCGACACAGGGCTCGTTACTGCGGCCAGTGACACCGACACAGGGCTCGTTACTGCGGCCAGTGACACCGATACCGGGCTCGTTACTGCGGCCAGTGACACCGATACCGGGCTCGTTACTGCGGCCAGTGACACCGATACCGGGCTCGTTACTGCGGCCAGTGACACCGATACCGGGCTCGTTACTGCGGCCAGTGACACCGATACCGGGCTCGTTACTGCGGCCAGTGACACCAATACCGGGCTCGTTACTGCGGCCAGTGACACCAACACAGGGCTCGTTACTGCGGCCAGTGACACCAACACCGGGCTCGTTACTGCGGCCAGTGACACCAACACCGGGCTCGTTACTGCGGCCAGTGACACCGATACCGGGCTCGTTACTGCGGCCAGTGACACCATTAACGGTCTCGTTACTGCGGCCAGTGACACCGATACCGCTCGTTACTGCGGCCAGTGACACCGATACCGGGCTCGTTACTGCGGCCAGTGACACCCGATACCGGGCTCGTTACTGCGGCCAGTGACACCAATACCGGGCTCGTTACTGCGGCCAGTGACACCAACACAGGGCTCGTTACTGCGGCCAGTGACACCAATACCTGGCTCGTTACTGCGGCCAGTGACACCAATACCCGGCTCGTTACTGCGGCCAGTGACACCAATACCGAGCTCGTTACTGCGGCCAGTGACACCAATACCGGGCTCGTTACTGCGGCCAGTGACACCAATACCGGGCTCGTTACTGCGGCCAGTGACACCGACACAGGGCTCGTTACTGCGGCCAGTGACACCGATACCGGGCTCGTTACTGCGGCCAGTGACACCGACACAGGGCTCGTTACTGCGGCCAGTGACACCGATACCGGGCTCGTTACTGCGGCCAGTGACACCGATACCGGGCTCGTTACTGCGGCCAGTGACACCGACACAGGGCTCGTTACTGCGGCCAGTGACACCGACACCGGGCTCGTTACTGCGGCCAGTGACACCGACACCGGGCTCGTTACTGCGGCCAGTGACACCGATACCGGGCTCGTTACGGCGGCCAGTGACACCGATACCGGGCTCGTTACTGCGGCCAGTGACACCGATACCGGGCTCGTTACTGCGGCCAGTGACACCAATACCGGGCTCGTTACTGCGGCCAGTGACACCAATACCGGCTCGTTACTGCGGCCAGTGACACCAACACAGGGCTCGTTACTGCGACCAGTGACACCAACACAGGGCTCGTTACTGCGGCCAGTGACACCAATACCTGGCTCGTTACTGCGGCAGTGACACCAATACCGGGCTCGTTACTGCGGCCAGTGACACCAATACCGAGCTCGTTACTGCGGCCAGTGACACCAATACCGGGCTCGTTACTGCGGCCAGTGACACCGACACAGGGCTCGTTACTGCGGCCAGTGACACCGACACAGGGCTCGTTACTGCGGCCAGTGACACCGATACCGGGCTCGTTACTGCGGCCAGTGACACCGACACAGGGCTCGTTACTGCGGCCAGTGACACCGATACCCGGCTTGTTACTGCGGCCAGTGACACCGATACCAAGCTCGTTACTGCGGCCAGTGACACAGATACCGGGCTCGTTACTGCGGCCAGTGACACCGATACCGGGCTCGTTACTACTGCGGCCAGTGACACCGATACCGGGCTCGTTACTGCGGCCAGTGACACCGATACCGGGCTCGTTACTGCGGCCAGTGACACCGATACCGGGCTCGTTACTGCGGCCAGTGACACCGATACCGGGCTCGTTACTGCGGCCAGTGACACCGATACCGGGCTCGTTAATGCGGCCAGTGACACCGATACCGGGCTCGTTACTGCGGCCAGTGACACCGATACCAGGCTTGTTACTGCGGCCAGTGACACCAGGGCAGAAGTTTTTTACTGCAGCAACTAAGACCAATGCTGGGGGCTATTCCAGTGGCCATTGACACCAATGTTGGGGGTTGTTACTGTGGTCACTGACACCACCATTGGCAATTATTACTCCTTCCTCTGACACCAATGCTGGGGGTTATTTCGCTCCCTTGTTCTCCTCGGGTGAGTTGTATGAGGGAAGTCGGCAATGTTGGGGCGTTCATTATGCCTGGGCTGCCCCGCCCCCACTGGTCTCCACCAATGACAAGCCAGCATATGGCCGCCCTCTCGGGAAGAATGGAGATCACACACGAGGATCCATCCAGAACGCGTCCCGAGGATCTTCATTTCCAGTCATGTGACCGCGATCTGCAGGACTCCGCCCAAAATATCAGCCTTGTCCTGGGTGTCGGCTCCATACATTGAGTGACACCATACACAGCGCCAGATCCAAACTCTTTATTGTCATATAAATAAATCAGCTCGGGGGGGGGAAGGGGAAGGGGGAGGGGGGGTCGCTTCTTCCCGCTAAATCTCCATCAATTGCTCGTTTCCTGCGATGATTTCGTTGACGCGTTTTCGCTGCGGAGAAAACACAAAGTGAGTGAATCCAACATTCAAATGGTTAGTTGTGGGAGGAGCATCAGAGGAAGAACACCAATCACTACACGGCTGACACCTCCCCCCCATTCACTGACAGATCCCGGCAACCGAGACTGATGGGACTGTGGGGGAGGGGACATTAGAGTGTAAGCTCCTCTGTACAGAGACTGATGGGACTGTGGGGGGAGGGGACATTGGAGTGTAAGCTCCTCTGGTACAGAGACTGATGTGACTGTGGGGGAGGGGACATTAGAGCGTAAGCTCCTCTGGTACAGAGGCTGATGGGACTGTGGGGGAGGGGACATTAGAGTGTAAGCTCCTCTGGTACAGAGACTGATGTGACTGTGGGGGAGGGGACATTAGAGCGTAAGCTCCTCTGGTACAGAGACTGATGGGACTGCGGGGGAGGGGACATTAGAGTGTAAGCTCCTCTGGTACAGAGATGGATGGGACTGCGGGGGAGAGGGGACATTAGAGTGTAAGCTCCTCTGTATAGAGACTGATGGGACTGCGGGGGAGGGGACATTAGAGCGTAAGCTCCTTTGGTGCAGAGGCTGATGGGACTGTGGGGGAGGGGACATTAGAGCGTAAGCTCCTCTGGTACAGAGGCTGATGGGACTGCGGGGGAGGGGACATTAGAGTGTAAGCTCCTCTGTACAGAGGCTGATGGGACTGTGGGGGAGGGGACATTAGAGTGTAAGCTCCTCTGTACAGAGGCTGATGGGACTGTGGGGGAGGGGACATTAGAGTGTAAGCTCCTCTGGTACAGAGGCTGATGGGACTGCGCGGGGGGGAGGGGACATTAGAGTGTAAGCTCCTCTGTACAGAGGCTGATGGGACTGTGGGGGAGGGGACATTAGAGTGTAAGCTCCTCTGTACAGAGGCTGATGGGGACTGTGGGGGAGGGGACATTAGAGTGTAAGCTCCTCTGTACAGAGGCTGATGGGACTGTGGGGGAGGGGACATTAGAGTGTAAGCTCCTCTGGTACAGAGGCTGATGGGGACTGCGGGGGAGGGGGAGGGGACATTAGAGTGTAAGCTCCTCTGTACAGAGGCTGATGGGACTGTGGGGGAGGGGACATTAGAGTGTAAGCTCCTCTGGTACAGAGGCTGATGGGACTGCGGGGGAGGGGACATTAGAGTGTAAGCTCCTCTGTACAGAGGCTGATGGGACTGTGGGGGAGGGGACATTAGAGTGTAAGCTCCTCTGGTACAGAGGCTGATGGGACTGCGGGGGAGGGGACATTAGAGTGTAAGCTCCTCTGTACAGAGGCTGATGGGACTGCGGGGGAGGGGACATTAGAGTGTAAATTTTTTGTTTATTAAAATCTTGCAAACAAATAACATCATAAAAATCATATTTCCATATATACAGAATAAAATATATATAATTAAACAAAACCAGCTACTTCAGATAAATAACAAATCCTGACCGTCACCTAAACACCCCCTCAGGGTAAGAAAGGATTAAACATTCACCCCACACACTGATCCCACACATCGATCCCATACATTCATCCCATACATCGATCCCATACATGCCGCCTTTCTTCAAAAATCTGATGTTACAAAATCTAGGGGACGTGAAAGGACAGAAAGAGAAGCCACGCCCCCAGAGACTGACAGACAGCAGCTACGGGGACCTGACATTCCTCCACGCCTTTGTCCAGGCTCCCGGCCGCCACCTGTCCTTCTCAAGACCCCGAATCTTCCCAACCTCACCCAGAATGTTGTTCACCACCACCTCGACAGGAGGAAACCTGACACCGTGCATTCCACGTGTAGTAACGGACTACTAAGCTAACTAGAAAAATGTCTGAAAATCAAAGTTCCGGTGAGTCTGAAAGGCTCCGTAAGACCACTCCACGTAACTCAAGCGGGAAAGGAAAGGGATCCCCAGAGCCCCACCCACCCGCTTGTAGACTTCTATATTGAAGGGGCACTGAAGCAAGAAATGGTCCATCGTCTCCTCCACCACCACCGCACTCCACTCCACCGCACTCCACTCTTGGACAACCACGGTTCTCCGCAGAGCGATGCTTCAGGTTGCCCTTCACATAGAGTCTGCCATGGAACGAGAGCCAGGCCAAATCCCGAAACTTTAAAGGGATTCTCTCCAGATTCATCAAACGCAGACCCTCCCCCATAACCGGGCAATCCCTCCCTCGTAACCGTGCCTGGGCAATCCCTCCCCCGTAACCGGGCAATCCCTCCCCCGTAACCGTGCCTGGGCAATCCCTCCCCCGTAACCGGGCAATCCCTCCCCCGTAACCGGGCCTGGGCAATCCCTCCCTCATAACCGGGCCTGGGCAATCCCTCCCCCGTAACCGGGCAATCCCTCCCCCGTAACCGGGCAATCCCTCCCCCGTAACCGGGCAATCCCTCCCCCGTAACCGTGCCTGGGCAATCCCTCCCCCGTAACCGGGCAATCCCTCCCCCCTAACCGGGCCTGGGCAATCCCTCCCTCATAACCGGGCCTGGGCAATCCCTCCCCCATAACCGGGCAATCCCTCCCCCGTAACCGGGCAATCCCTCCCCCGTAACCAGGCAATCCCTCCCCCGTAACCGGGCAATCCCTCCCCCGTAACCGGGCAATCCCTCCCCCGTAACCGGGCAATCCCTCCCCCGTAACCGTGCCTGGGCAATCCCTCCCCCGCAACCGGGCAATCCCTCCCCCGTAACCAGGCAATCCCTCCCCCATAACCGGGTAATCCCTCCCCCGTAACCGGGCCCGGGCAATCCCTCCCCCGTAACCGGACCCGGGCAATCCCTCCCCCGTAACCGGGCCCGGGCAATCCCTCCCCCGTAACCGGGCCCGGGCAATCCCTCCCCCGTAACCGGGCCCGGGCAATCCCTCCCCCGTAACCGGGCCCGGGCAATCCCTCCCCCGTAACCGGGCCCGGGCAATCCCTCCCCCGTAACCGGGCCCGGGCAATCCCTCCCCCGTAACCGGGCCCGGGCAATCCCTCCCCCGTAACCGGGCCCGGGCAATCCCTCCCCCGTAACCGGGCCCGGGCAATCCCTCCCCCGGGTAACCGGGCCCGGGCAATCCCTCCCCCGTAACAGGGCCCGGGCAATCCCTCCCCCGTAACAGGGCCCGGGCAATCCCTCCCCCGTAACAGGGCCCGGGCAATCCCTCCCCCGTAACCAGGCAATCCCTCCCCCGTAACAGGGCCCGGGCAATCCCTCCCCCGTAACCAGGCAATCCCTCCCCCGTAACCGGGCAATCCCTCCCCCGTAACCGGGCAATCCCTCCCCCGTAACCGGGCAATCCCTCCCCCGTAACCGGGCAATCCCTCCCCCGTAACCGGGCAATCCCTCCCCTGTAACTGGGCAATCCCTACCCCATAACCGGGCCTGAGCAATCCCTCCCCCGTAACCGCGCCCAGGCAATCCCTCCCCCGTAACCGGGCAATCCCTACCCCATAACCGGGCCAGGGCAATCCCTCCCCCGTAACCGCGCCCAGACAATCCCTCCCCCGTAACCGGGCCCGGGCAATCCCTCCCCCGTAACAGGGCCCGGGCAATCCCTCCCCCGTAACAGGGCCCGGGCAATCCCTCCCCCGTAACAGGGCCCGGGCAATCCCTCCCCCGTAACCAGGCAATCCCTCCCCCGTAACAGGGCCCGGGCAATCCCTCCCCCGTAACCGGGCAATCCCTCCCCTGTAACTGGGCAATCCCTACCCCATAACCGGGTCTGAGCAATCCCTACCCGTAACCGCGCCCAGGCAATCCCTCCCCCGTAACCGGGCAATCCCTACCCCATAACCGGGCCGGGGCAATCCCTCCCCCATAACCGGGCAATCCCTCCCCTGTAACTGGGCAATCCCTCCCCTGTAACTGGGCAATCCCTACCCCATAACCGGGCCTGAGCAATCCCTCCCCGTAACCGCGCCTGGGCAATCCCTCCCCCGTCACCGCGCCCAGGCAATCCCTCCCCCGTAACCGGGCAATCCCTACCCCATAACCGGGCCGGGGCAATCCCTCCCCCATAACCGTGCCCAGGCAATCCCTCCCCCGTAACCGGGCAATCCCTCCCCCGTAACCGGGCAATCCCTCCCCCGTAACCAGGCAATCCCTACCCCATAACCGGGCCCGGGCAATCCCTCCCCCGTAACCGGGCAATCCCTACCCCATAACCGGGCAATCCCTACCCCACAACCGCGCCCAGGCAATCCCTCCCCCGTAACCGGGCAATCCCTACCCCATAACCGGGCAATCCCTACCCCACAACCGCGCCCAGGCAATCCCTCCCCCGTAACCGGGCAATCCCTACCCCATAACCGGGCAATCCCTACCCCATAACTGGGCCCGGGCAATCCCTCCCCCGTAACCGGGAAATCCCTCCCCCATAACCGGGCCGGGGAAACCCCTCAAGGCCAATGGCTCGCTAAAGGCAGATTCAACAACCCTCCTCTCCAGGGCCTTCCTAGGAAGAGACTTCACTTCCTCCGCCGTCACTCATGACATTAGAGTGTAAGCTCCTATGATCAGGGAGTGATGTGGGAAGGCGCTCGGGTCTCCATCACCACAAAAGCAGCAGAATTATCCCGGAGCGATCCGTATGATGGAATATTTCAGCAGATGACGTCGGTGGTCGCGGTAACCTGAGAGCTCTGGTTTGGTGTCACGTGTTGTCAGTGATCGGGCCGGCTCTCCGACATACACCTGTAGGAGCAGATGATGTGACCCCGCAGGGATTGTTGAGTCTGGCCCCCCTGGTGGTCTCCCGGCTCAGGGATCGCTGTGTTGACACAATGGTGGGGATGCTTACAATACCCCGGCGAGTATTTACACGAAGCTCAGCGATGGCACGGCACTGCGCAACCCTCATGTCTCTGGGTGGCGGAAACTCCGGATTCCTTCTGCTAATATTCTGAACAGACATGAGACCAGCAGCACGCCGAGACCACCGCACGAGACCACCCGAGACCACCGCACGAGAACGCCCAAGACCACCGCACGAGACCGCCCGAGACCACCTGAGACTGCCCGAGACAACCTGAGACCACCGCACGAGACCACCCGAGACCACCCGCCGCACGAGAACGCCCAAGACCACCGCACGAGACCACCCGAGACCACCGCACGAGAACGCCCGAGACCACCGCACGAGACCGCCCGAGACCACCTGAGACTGCACAAGACCACCTGAGACTGCCCGAGACCACCTGAGACCACCGCCCGAGACCACCTGAGACCACCGCACGAGACCACCTGAGACCACCGCACGAAACCACCTGAGACCACCGCACGAGACCACCTGAGACCACCGCACGAGACCGCCCGAGACCACCTGAGACTGCACAAGACCACCTGAGACCGCCCGAGACAACCTGAGACCACCGCCCGAGATCGCCCGAGACCACCTGAGACCACCGCCCGAGATCGCCCGAGACCACCTGAGACCACCGCACGAGACCACCTGAGACCACCACACGAGACCACCTGAGACCACCGCACGAAACCACCTGAGACCACCGCACGAGACCACCTGAGACCACCGCACGAGACCACCTGAGACCACCGCACGAGACCACCTGAGACCACCGCACGAAACCACCTGAGACCACCGCACGAGACCACCTGAGACCACCGCACAAGACCACCTGAGACCACCGCACGAAACCACCTGAGACCACCGCACGAGAACGCCTGAGACCACCTGAGACCACCGCCCGAGATCGCCCGAGGCCACCTGAGACCATCGCCCGAGACCACCTGAGACCATCGCCCGAGACCACCTGAGACCGCCCGAGACCGCCTGAGACTGCACAAGACCACCTGAGACCGCACAAGACCACCTGAGACCGCCCGAGACCACCTGAGACCACCCGAGACCACCGCCCGAGACCACCGCACGAGACTGCCTGAGACCACCCGAGACCACCGCCCGAGACCACCTGAGACCGCACGAGACCACCTGAGACCGCCCGAGCCTGCGCACGAGACTGCCCGAGACGACCGCACGAGACTGCCCGAGACCACCTGAGACCGCACGAGACCACCTGAGACCGCACAAGACTGCCCGAGACCACCGCACAAGACCACCTGAGACCACCCAAGACCGCAACACGAGACTGCCCGAGACCACCGCATGAGACCACCCGCGGTGTACAGTTCAAACATCGCGCCTGTAAATGCCTGGAGGTCAGCCGGCTCGTGTATGGAAATGATTGATCTGTACAGAGACAGCCTGACATTTATTATTAGACATTATAGAGCTCTGACACATACCGCAGCGCTGTACAGAGATCACTGAGCCAGTCACATCAGTCTCTGTACAGAGGAGCTTACGCTCTAATGTCCCCTCCCCCACAGTCCCATTAGTCTCTGTACAGAGGAGCTTACGCTCTAATGTCCCCTCCCCCACAGTCCCATCAGTCTCTGTACAGAGGAGCTTACACTCTAATGTCCCCTCCCCCACAGTCCCATCAGTCTCTGTACAGAGGAGCTTACGCTCTAATGTCCCCTCCCCCACAGTCACATCAGTCTCTGTACCGGAAGAGCTGACACTCTAATGTCCCCTCCCCCACAGTCACATCAGTCTCTGTACCAGAGGAGCTTACGCTCTAATGTCCCCCTCCCCCACAGTCCCATCAGTCTCTGTACCAGGGGAGCTTACACTCTAATGTCCCCTCCCCCGCAGTCCCATCAGTCTCTGTACCAGAGGAGCTTACACTCTAATGTCCCCTCCCCCACAGTCACATCAGTCTCTGTACCAGAGGAGCTTACACTCTAATGTCCCCTCCCCCACAGTCACATCAGTCTCTGTACCAGAGGAGCTTACACTCTAATGTCCCCTCCCCCTAATGTCCCCTCCCCCACAGTCACATCAGTCTCTGTACCAGAGGAGCTTACACTCTAATGTCCCCTCCCCCACAGTCCCATCAGTCTCTGTACCAGAGGAGCTTACACTCTAATGTCCCCTCCCCCACAGTCACATCAGTCTCTGTACCAGAGGAGCTTACACTCTAATGTCCCCTCCCCCACAGTCCCATCAGTGTCCTTGGTACTGATCTCGGGGCCCCGGTGCTGCAAGGCCCCATTGGTGTTCACTCTCCCGGCATGCTCTACCACCCATTAGGAGGCGGGGTTTGCTGTGATGACGGGGCGGCAGGACACCCCATGGATGGACTCACCTTTACTGGGAATACGAAGGGCGGAGCCCAGTAGGCAGTCCTTGATGTCGGCTCCGCCCTCTATGACGGCGTTGGTGCAGATCACGCTCCCCTGGAGGATGCAGCTGAGGAGAAGAATCAGAATTATTCATATTATCTGATAATAAAATCTGCTGTAAAGTTCCTCACTGTGACCCCGGGGGGGGGGGGGGGGGCGGGGCAGAGGCGGGCGGGGCGGGGCGGGGGGCGGTGCAGGAGAGGTGTCTGCCTTGGGGGGTCTTCAGCAGGAGGGAGGAAGGAAGGAGGGAGGGGGGGTGCAAGGTGGGCCGGACCTGCATCCTGTGTAGTTTATACCTAATGGGGGGACTTCTGTCTCGTCCCAACACTGACCTCCACCCTTCATAGGTGATCATTATGAAGAATGGACCATTTATAGGGCAACAACCCATGGCCCCCCCCACCAACAATAGATCTCCCCAGGGACAATTCCCCACCAGCAACAAAAACAACACCCCCCAGCACCAATAAACCAGCCCCAAGGAACAAGAGACCCCCCACCAGCAACAACAGATCTTCCAGCAGCTAGAAACAAGAGACCCCTCCCTCAGCAGTAGATCCCTCCCAGCAACAATAGACCCCCCCAGATACAATGGACCCCTCCCTCAACAGTAGACCCCCCCCAGATACAATGGACCCCTCCCTCAACAGTAGATCCCTCCCCCAGCAACAATAGACCCCCCCAGATACAATGGACCCCTCCCTCAACAGTAGACCCCCCCCCCAGATACAATGGACCCCTCCCTCAACAGTATATCCCTCCCAGCAACAACAGACCCCCCCAGATACAATGGACCCCTCCCTCAACAGTAGATCCCTCCCAGCAACAATAGACCCCCAAGATACAATGGACCCCTCCCTCAACAGTAGACCCCTCCCAGCAACAATAGACCCCCCAGATACAATGGGCCCCTCCCTCAACAGTAGACCCCTCCCAGCAACAATAGACCCCCCCCCAGATACAATGGACCCTCCCTCAACAGTAGATCCCTCCCAGCAACAATAGACCCCCCCCCCAGATACAATGGACCCCTCCCTCAACAGTAGATCCCTCCCAGCAACAATAGACCCCCCCCAGATACAATGGGCCCCCCCCTCAACAATAGACCCCCCCCCAGATACAATGGGCCCCCCCTCAACAATAGACCCCCCCCCCCCAGATACAATGGGCCCCCCCTCAACAGTAGATCCCTCCCAGCAACAATAGACCCCCCCCAGATACAATGCCCCCCCAACAGTAGATCCCTCCCAGCAACAATAGACCCCCCCAGATACAATGCCCCCCCAACAGGATATCCCTCCCAGCAGCAATAGACCCCATCAACAATATACACCCCCCCAGATACAATGGACCCCTCCCTCAACAGTAGATCCCTCCCAGCAACAATAGACCCCCCCAGATACAATGGACCCCTCCCTCAACAGTAGACCCCCCCAGATACAATGGACCCTTCCCTCAACAGTATATCCCTCCCAGCAACAACAGACCCCCCCAGATACAATGGACCCCTCCCTCAACAGTAGACCCCTCCCAGCAACAATAGACCCCCCAGATACAATGGACCCCTCCCTCAACAGTAGACCCCTCCCAGCAACAATAGACCCCTCCCAGCAACAATAGACCCCCCCCCCAGATACAATGGACCCCTCCCTCAACAGTATATCCCTCCCAGCAACAATAGACCCCCCCAGATACAATGGACCCCTCCCTCAACAGTAGATCCCTCCCAGCAACAATAGACCCCCCCAGATACAATGCCCCCCCCCCTCAACAGTAGATCCCTCCCAGCAACAATAGACCCCCCCAGATACAATGGGCCCCCCCCCCTCAACAGTAGATCCCTCCCAGCAACAATAGACCCCCCCAGATACAATGGACCCCTCCCTCAACAGTAGATTCCTCCCAGCAACAATAGACCCCCCCCAGATACAATGGGCCCCCCCCAACAGTATATCCCTCCCAGCAACAATAGACCCCCCCAGATACAATGGAGCCCTCCCTCAACAACAGATCCCCTCCAGTGACAATAGATTCCCCAGGAGCGAGCATCAATGGACCCTCCAGCACCCCCCCCCCGGCCATTACATTCAGTGTTGCCGCCCCCCCCCCCCCCCCCCCCCCCCCCCCCCCGCGTTCCCGCCAGTGAAAAGCCCGGCTGCTGGCATGCGGAGGATGATGTGACAATGGCGTGCCGTGTGGACTACATGCTGGGGGGGGGAGGGGGGGTCTCATCTCCCTGATGGTCAGGATCAGCGTGCCGGGATGTCGGTTTCTCTCCCAGACGACTCGTCTGTCCCAGGCTGGGGAAGTCAGTGCCGGGAGAAGTCCTCCTCCTGAGCCCAGAGAGAAGATGGCAAAAATCCCAGCGTGAGTCTCAGTATGAATGCCCGGCTCCGGGTCTGCCGGTTCCTCTGATCGGGGGGGGTCTCCTGACTACGGCCCTCCGCTATGGCTAGTGGTGAATCCCCAAAATGGGCCACTGGGCTCCCACTCACCTCCCCCCCACCAGCTGCTAGCTCAAGTTCCCTCTGCTCTGCTGCTATCACCCGTGACATTGGTTACTAGGACCGCCCTTATCCCAGCAGCCAATCAGGGGAGGACAGACATCCTCCGCCTCCCGCGCTGCGGCTACAACTCCGAGGACTCACCCGGCTGCCAAGTCCGGCTATGCAGTACATAGATGGAAGCTCGGAGGGGTCAGCATCCATGTTGTACACAAGTCGCTCTATCCATTGCCTGTTGGGTTTTTCTGAATGATCAGCACCGCCGGCCATAGCCTGCCATGCTGATTGGTGCATTCTGATGGCTCCCCCCCGATGTCAGAACACAATAGATCAGCGGGAGGGATTCCCCCGACCACCTCCAGCGTGTGGATTGGGGGAATCAAGTCACCTCCAGCGTGTGGATTGGGGGAATCAAGTCACCTCCAGGGTGTGGATTGGGGGAATCGGGTCACCTCCAGGGTGTGGATTGGGGGAATCGGGTCACCTCCGGCGTGTGGGATTGGGGGAATCGGGTCACCTCCGGCGTGTGGGATTGGGGGAATCGGGTCACCTCCACGGTGTGGATTGGGGGAATCGGGTCACCTCCAGGGTGTGGATTGGGGGAATCAGGTCACCTCCAGGGTGTGGATTGGGGGAATCGGGTCACCTCCAGAGTGTGGATTGGGGGAATCGGGTCACCTCCACGGTGTGGATTGGGGGAATCGGGTCACCTCCAGGGTGTGGATTGGGGGAATCGGGTCACCTCCAGGGTGTGGATTGGGGGAATCGGGTCACCTCCAGGGTGTGGATTGGGGGAATCGGGTCACCTCCGGCGTGTGGATTGGGGGAATCGGGTCACCTCCAGGGTGTGCATTGGGGGAATCGGGTCCCCTCCGGCGTGTGGATTGGGGGAATCGGGTCACCTCCGGCGTGTGGATTGGGGGAATCGGGTCACCTCCGGCGTGTGGATTGGGGGAATCGGGTCACCTCCGGCGTGTGGATTGGGGGAATCGGGTCACCTCCGGCGTGTGGATTGGGGGAATCGGGTCACCTCCGGCGTGTGGATTGGGGGAATCGGGTCACCTCCGGCGTGTGGATTGGGGGAATCGGGTCACCTCCGGCGTGTGGATTGGGGGAATCGGGTCACCTCCGGCGTGTGGATTGGGGGAATCGGGTCACCTTTTTTTTTTTTTTTTTCAACCTTCTGGTTGAATGAAAAAAAAATATGAATCATGTATGTCCTGCCTAAGGCAACCTTCGGTGGGAACCAGGATAAAAGGGGGGGGGGGGGGACTCTGATGATGACCCTGATATAAGGGGGGACTGGGATGGGGACCCTGACGGGAATCCCGTAATTTTAGGTGGGCTCTGATGAAGACCCTGATGGGGACTCTAAAATAAAGGAGGCTCTGTTGGGAACCAGAATTGTAAGGGGGGGATCCTTATGTAAGGACTCTGATGGGCATCCTGATATGTTAGGGGAAATCATATTGGGACCATGATGTAAGGAGGGGTTCTGATGGAAATTCTAATGTAAAGGGGGACTTTAATAGGGACCATGATGTTAGGTTGGACCCAGATGGAAGGGGGGACTCTGGTGGGGACCCTGATGGAAGGGGGGACTCTGGTGGGGACCCTGATGGAAGGGGGGGGACTCTGGTGGGGACCCTGATGGAAGGGGGGACTCTGGTGGCTTCCACTATGATTACGCACAATTGGGGGGTGAAATGTGTCGCAGGGGTGTGGCTAGGGGGTGGGGACTGTATGAATCCAGCTTGAGGTCCTCTATGATAAAGTCCTATCGGGGTGAGAGGGCGTGGCTATGGGCGGGGACAGCTCACATGATGAGATGGATCCGGCGTGATCCTTCCTGCCTCCTGCCAATCAGGACCCAGTCTAAAGGGATGCTGGGATTGGGTGGGAAGGGGCCGCATTGATCTTTGTCCGGCTGTAAACGACTTCCTCCCATTCCCATTATTATAGAAGGAAGTCACATGGTCCCATCATGGACAGGGATCGTCGGGGAAGCAGACACGGGGTGTCAGAGGGAGGAGACACGGGGCGCAGGAGGGAGGAGACACGGGGCGCAGGAGGGAGGAGACACGGGGCGCAGGAGGGAGGAGACACGGGGTGCAGGAGGGAGGAGACACGGGGTGTCAGAGGGAGGAGACACGGGGCGCAGGAGGGAGGAGACATGGGGCGCAGGAGGGAGGAGACACGGGGGGTGTCAGAGGGAGGAGACACGGGGCGCAGGAGGGAGGAGACACGGAGCGCTGGACGGAGAAGACAAGGAGCGCCGGACGGAGAAGACACGGGGTGTCGGAGGGAGGAGACATGGGGCGCAGGAGAGAGGAGACACGGGGCGCAGGAGGGAGGAGACACGGGGTGCAGGAGGGAGGAGACACGGGGTGTCAGAGGGAGGAGACACGGGGCGCAGGAGGGAGGAGACATGGGGCGCAGGAGGGAGGAGACACGGGGGTGTCAGAGGGAGGAGACACGGGGCGCAGGAGGGAGGAGACACGGAGCGCTGGACGGAGAAGACAAGGAGCGCCGGGACGGAGAAGACACGGGGTGTCGGAGGGAG